GCAGCAGCCCTCACGACCTGCAGCAGCCCTAACGACCTGCAGCAGCCCTCACGACCTGCAGCAGCCCTAACGACCTGCAGCAGCCCTAACGACCTGCAGCAGCCCTAACGACCTGCAGCAGCCCTAACGACCTGCAGCAGCCCTAACGACCTGCAGCAGCCCTAACGACCTGCAGCAGCCCTAACGACCTGCAGCAGCCCTAACGACCTGCAGCAGCCCTAACGACCTGCAGCAGCCCTAACGACCTGCAGCAGCCCTAACGACCTGCAGCAGCCCTAACGACCTGCAGCAGCCCTAACGACCTGCAGCAGCCCTAACGACCTGCAGCAGCCCTAACGACCTGCAGCAGCCCTAACGACCTGCAGCAGCCCTAACGACCTGCAGCAGCCCTAACGACCTGCAGCAGCCCTAACGACCTGCAGCAGCCCTCACGACCTGCAGCAGCCCTAACGACCTGCAGCAGCCCTAACGACCTGCAGCAGCCCTCACGACCTGCAGCAGCCCTAACGACCTGCAGCAGCCCTAACGACCTGCAGCAGCCCTCACGACCTGCAGCAGCCCTAACGACCTGCAGCAGCCCTCACGACCTGCAGCAGCCCTAACGACCTGCAGCAGCCCTAACGACCTGCAGCAGCCCTAACGACCTGCAGCAGCCCTCACGACCTGCAGCAGCCCTAACGACCTGCAGCAGCCCTAACGACCTGCAGCAGCCCTCACGACCTGCAGCAGCCCTAACGACCTGCAGCAGCCCTCACGACCTGCAGCAGCCCTAACGACCTGCAGCAGCCCTAACGACCTGCAGCAGCCCTAACGACCTGCAGCAGCCCTAACGACCTGCAGCAGCCCTAACGACCTGCAGCAGCCCTAACGACCTGCAGCAGCCCTAACGACCTGCAGCAGCCCTAACGACCTGCAGCAGCCCTAACGACCTGCAGCAGCCCTAACGACCTGCAGCAGCCCTAACGACCTGCAGCAGCCCTAACGACCTGCAGCAGCCCTAACGACCTGCAGCAGCCCTAACGACCTGCAGCAGCCCTAACGACCTGCAGCAGCCCTAACGACCTGCAGCAGCCCTAACGACCTGCAGCAGCCCTAACGACCTGCAGCAGCCCTAACGACCTGCAGCAACCCTAACGACCTGCAGCAGCCCTCACGACCTGCAGCAGCCCTAACGACCTGCAGCAGCCCTAACGACCTGCAGCAGCCCTCACGACCTGCAGCAGCCCTCACGACCTGCAGCAGCCCTCACGACCTGCAGCAGCCCTCACGACCTGCAGCAGCCCTAACGACCTGCAGCAGCCCTAACGACCTGCAGCAGCCCTAACGACCTGCAGCAGCCCTAACGACCTGCAGCAGCCCTAACGACCTGCAGCAGCCCTAACGACCTGCAGCAGCCCTAACGACCTGCAGCAGCCCTAACGACCTGCAGCAGCCCTAACGACCTGCAGCAGCCCTAACGACCTGCAGCAGCCCTAACGACCTGCAGCAGCCCTAACGACCTGCAGCAGCCCTAACGACCTGCAGCAGCCCTCACGACCTGCAGCAGCCCTCACGACCTGCAGCAGCCCTAACGACCTGCAGCAGCCCTCACGACCTGCAGCAGCCCTCACGACCTGCAGCAGCCCTAACGACCTGCAGCAGCCCTCACGACCTGCAGCAGCCCTCACGACCTGCAGCAGCCCTAACGACCTGCAGCAGCCCTCACGACCTGCAGCAGCCCTAACGACCTGCAGCAGCCCTAACGACCTGCAGCAGCCCTCACGACCTGCAGCAGCCCTAACGACCTGCAGCAGCCCTAACGACCTGCAGCAGCCCTCACGACCTGCAGCAGCCCTAACGACCTGCAGCAGCCCTCACGACCTGCAGCAGCCCTAACGACCTGCAGCAGCCCTAACGACCTGCAGCAGCCCTAACGACCTGCAGCAGCCCTAACGACCTGCAGCAGCCCTAACGACCTGCAGCAGCCCTAACGACCTGCAGCAGCCCTAACGACCTGCAGCAGCCCTCACGACCTGCAGCAGCCCTAACGACCTGCAGCAGCCCTAACGACCTGCAGCAGCCCTCACGACCTGCAGCAGCCCTAACGACCTGCAGCAGCCCTAACGACCTGCAGCAGCCCTCACGACCTGCAGCAGCCCTAACGACCTGCAGCAGCCCTCACGACCTGCAGCAGCCCTAACGACCTGCAGCAGCCCTAACGACCTGCAGCAGCCCTCACGACCTGCAGCAGCCCTAACGACCTGCAGCAGCCCTAACGACCTGCAGCAGCCCTAACGACCTGCAGCAGCCCTCACGACCTGCAGCAGCCCTAACGACCTGCAGCAGCCCTAACGACCTGCAGCAGCCCTCACGACCTGCAGCAGCCCTAACGACCTGCAGCAGCCCTAACGACCTGCAGCAGCCCTCACGACCTGCAGCAGCCCTAACGACCTGCAGCAGCCCTCACGACCTGCAGCAGCCCTAACGACCTGCAGCAGCCCTAACGACCTGCAGCAGCCCTCACGACCTGCAGCAGCCCTAACGACCTGCAGCAGCCCTAACGACCTGCAGCAGCCCTCACGACCTGCAGCAGCCCTAACGACCTGCAGCAGCCCTCACGACCTGCAGCAGCCCTAACGACCTGCAGCAGCCCTAACGACCTGCAGCAGCCCTCACGACCTGCAGCAGCCCTAACGACCTGCAGCAGCCCTCACGACCTGCAGCAGCCCTAACGACCTGCAGCAGCCCTCACGACCTGCAGCAGCCCTAACGACCTGCAGCAGCCCTAACGACCTGCAGCAGCCCTCACGACCTGCAGCAGCCCTAACGACCTGCAGCAGCCCTCACGACCTGCAGCAGCCCTAACGACCTGCAGCAGCCCTAACGACCTGCAGCAGCCCTCACGACCTGCAGCAGCCCTAACGACCTGCAGCAGCCCTCACGACCTGCAGCAGCCCTAACGACCTGCAGCAGCCCTCACGACCTGCAGCAGCCCTAACGACCTGCAGCAGCCCTCACGACCTGCGCTTAACCTGCACTCACTACTCACCACCCTTGCAGCACAACTCACATAAAGTGGACCGGATCGTGAGCCAAGACGTTACAGCCACTAAAGTGGCGCCATCCACTCCATCCACTCCATCACTCCATCCACTCCATCCACTCCATCCACTCCATCACTCCATCCACTCCATCACTCCATCACTCCATCACTCCATCCACTCCATCACTCCATCCACTCCATCACTCCATCCACTCCATCACTCCATCCACTCCATCACTCCATCCACTCCATCACTCCATCCACTCCATCCACTCCATCCACTACATTGAGTGCTCGCTCACACAAGCAGTTGTCTTATCTTAACCACTCACCACCCATGCCGAACGCAGAACAGTTGCTGCCGCCACCCACGCAAGGCAAGTAGTTGTCTCCCAGGTCATGTGTGTCCACAGAGGCACCATCCACTACATTGAATGCGCGCTCACAGCATCATCTCCACCACTCACCACCCATGCGAACCGCCGCAACTCACGGAAGTAGTTGTTCCCCAGGTCATGCGCCTCCACGGTGGCGCCATCAACAACGGTAAAGGAGCCTATTCCCCCCAGCACCAGGTTCTTGAGTGCTTCCGTGCCCGTCGGCCCTGTTGTCAGCAGACACACGCGCGCCTGCTCCAACGCCCTCTGCCCGTGCTCGCCCCATATCCTGTGGATGAACAGTCGAGGCAGGTGGAGGGCAAGACAAGGTTTAGGGCAAGACAGGGCTCAGGTGGATGAGAACACATGCCCTGCTATCCCCCCCAGCACCAGGTTCTTCAGTGCCGTTGTTCCTGTCGGCCCTGCTGTAAGTAGACACCCGCGCGCCTGCTCCAACGCCCTCTGCCCGTGCTCGCCCCATATCCTGTCGACGAACAGTGGGGGCAGGTGGAGATACAGCAAGGTATGGCTCTGGCGGATGAAAGCACATGTCAGACGCCTTTTGCCCGTGCTCGCCCCATATCCTGTCGATGAACAGTGGGGCCGGGTGGAGTCGAGATTTTGGTGAGAAGGATCAAGATCACATATCGTGTTGTCAACTACCTTCCACGTCTTGTGTAAACGAGCTACGGACTTGACAAGGAAGGTAGGAAGGTGATTTGTGAAACATTTGGCTGAGCACTCGAAGCGAGTCACGCACAGCATCCGGGTGGTTACTCCGCGAATATCCTCGCAAAGATCCTCACAAAAATTCTTGCGATACTTCATAGCTAGCGAAGCTTTCGTCACGCAATGATGGCTGGACACCTCAGAAAGTGGTAACAAGCTGCGGCGTAACCAATGTGACCTTGCTTCGACCGCTCACATCCAGACCGTGCGATCTAGCCTCTCACCTCAGCTGTCGGTCGAACTTGTGCGAGTTCAAGATCAACGACGAAGTACTCCTTATGAACTAATTCGTGTCCCTGGTTTAATCACGTTCTGGCGACCCGTTGCTGCTCACCTCAGCTGTCGGTCGTACTTCTGCGCGTTCTGAATCGCCACCATCGCGGCGCGCGGTGCGAAGAGCTATGGAATCAAATGGAGAAATGTGACCGTTGCTTGCTAGGATTCCTGGGGGAAATGGCTGTCAGGCCAAACTCCAAGCACGTGGGCCAGGTCAAAAAGAGCTTGTCAGATTTGCCCGATATACTGCACTTTGTTGGAACCACAGGCTATATTGTAAAGATCAAATAGTTGATTGTGTAGCATTGCAAGACGCTCACTCTTCTTTTCCCGGAATAGAGCCAGCCAAGTAACGAGTACAAGATGTGTGGTTTCTACTGCTCGCATTCGTGCTAGGAGAAACCCACCCCCAACCCTCGGTAAATTCCTCATTCCTCCATGAGAAATTTACTCCTTCGCTCCTTGGTCCATCTGTACACCACCTCCTCTCTTTTCCTTGAGAACGAGAGTCTCGAGAAGTCGTCAGCTTGAGAACGAGAGTCTCGAGAAGCCGTCGCGACCGTCTTGTGCACCGTCACTTGCAAGTAGGATGCGCCATGGCCGCGGTCCGTACCGCCTCCCACCATGCCACCCATCGAAACGAACAAAACGCAATCACCATTGTTCCCACCGAGTCGCTCCGCGTCAGAGCCTTTCATACTTCTCACCCACCCTCTCAAGCTCGCCGTTCCACGTCATCCCCCTCATCATCGGCGCGCTTCTCTCCTCTTCCCCGCTTCCCGCGTCCCGCACTCGCGACGCCGCTGCTCCGCTCATCGCGCTAGCGCAAGGCGGCGAGACCGCATCCCTAAAAGCCGCGTCGCTCGTTGAAGCGTGGTCGGAAGCGTACGGGCTGGGCGGAGACTCTGTGCTCCCCCCTTCCGCCGTCTCCCTTCCCCTAGGCGTGCCCGCTGCGCCGCACCTGGAGGACTGCGCGCGAGTGACCGCGGAGCGGGAGGCGTGGGAGCAAAGGGGCGGGCGGGGAGAGGAACCCGCGTGGACCCGCAGGGGCCCAAGGAGAGCGGACGCATCAACTGGTGTTGCTTCCCCTGGTTGCTCGGGGCAAGAGCAGAGGGAGGAGGTCCCACAACCGCCTTGGGTAAGGGGTATTTTCCCTACTGAGTTGCGGTGGGTATGTAGTGGCAATTGGGAGGGCAAGGACTGTTGGGGGCAATGGGCAATGGTGCACTAGGTGATTGAGATGGCTCGTGCCAATGTCAATATCCACGTCGTTCTAAGACATCGACGACAGCACAGCACATTCGTTCAGGCCCTCCCTTCACGAGCTACCCTTGCCAAGGGCACATTTCGCTCCATTCCTCATCCCACCCTCATCCCCACCCAGATCAGAGGGGCGGATGCAGCCAATCTGCCGCTGACACGTGTCGTGCAGAGGGACATCTGGCGCAACCAGTTCCCCCCCGGGGATTGCACGGACAGGCGCCTGCTCGTGGCCCACTGGGCCAAATCCACATCACACGGCGTTGGCTCCCAGGCGAGTGCTATGCCCATGGCTGTGGTGTGGTGTGGTGTGGTGTGGTGTGGTGTGGTGGTGTGGTGTGGTGCGGTGTGGTGTGGTGTGGTGTGGTGTGGTGTGGTGTGGTGTGGTGTGGTGTGGTGTGGTGTGTGTATTCTCGCACATCTGAGATGACTCAAAGGTCATTCAGGGGATTGCACCAACAGGCGCCTCCTCGTGGCCCACTGGCCCAAATCCACGTCACATGGCGTTGGCTCCCAGGCGAGTGCTCTTGCATGCGTGTGTGGTGTGGCGTGGCGCCATGCATGTGTACTCCTGACCCGCATAGCATATGGCCTGTATAGACCCCATTCCTCACACCCCACACCCACACCCCACACCGCACACACCCGCACGCACACCCCACACCCCCTCACCCACACCAAGTCAATCTTTACCATGAGCGTAGCAGAGGCATTTTTTGCCGAGTGTGCCCTCTTTCAGGTGCACTACTGTGCGCACTGTTCTGTGTGTTGAGCCTTACACCTTGCACCGTACACTATGCACCCCTCGCCCTACATACACCCATATAACTTCCGCAACCCAACACATTAAGCATCAAGGCCCGCACAGTACACTACACCACACCCCACACCCCACATTCCCCCACATACAGATCCACTACCTGACAGCGCTGTTGAGTGTGGCCATGCGTCACAACTGTACCCTAGTGGGCATGCGTGTGTGTGTCCTCTCAGGTGCACTGCTGAGTGCACTGTTCCCTTACTCCCCCGCCATCCAGATCCACTACCTGAGCGCACTGCTGAGTGTGGCCATGCGTCACAACCGTACCTTAGTGCCTCAACCCGACGGCTTCGACCGTGCTCGCACCCCGTCCTGTGAAGGTCCGTACATGGCATGACGCATGGTGTGTGGCATGGCATGGTGCATGGCGTGTGGCATGGCATGGTGCATGGCGTGTGGCATGGCATGGTGCATGGCATGTCGTCATGGAGCATGGAATGGTGCAAGGCATGTCATCATGGCGCATGATATGGTGCATGGCATGATATTACGCATACCATGCTGCATGGGGTGTGTGGTGTTATAGCAATGTGCTGCATGGTCTAGGGCATCTCATGGCATCTAATGGTAGCACACATGCACACATACCACCAGACGTCAGGTTGTAAGGTACGTGTGCCTCCCAACAGCCAACAAATTGCTTCTTGACTTGTCTTTGCCACTTCAGCCTGCTCTATAACTTACCCTCTCTTCCTTTCCCCCCACCCCACCCCCACCCCAATCCATCCCTCCCCCCCCACGTTCTCCCCTCCCCTCCCCCAACCTTTCCCCTTTGCCGCTTCCCCCTTCCATTCCTAACCTCCCCTCCCTCACGGTGTGTTCCCGCAATCCAAGCTGCGGGTCACAACAGCCAATGGGAGTGCTTCTTCTTCCCACCCGCCTCGTCAGCATGCCGCCACGTCATCCAACAGGCGCTGATGCAGAACCTCGAGAAGATCCCCTGGGCGAAGGACGACCCTGCTGACGTGGCAGCGCTGGACGATCCGATCGTGATTGTTGGTTACACCAACCCTACGATGCTCTTCATGGAAGCTGGAGCGGCAGAGTGCGTTCTAAACTATACGAGTGTTCGGGTTTCAATCGCAAGTATACTTTATTTAGACAACTCGGAACTTTAAAAGTACGCCGCAAACCCATAGTTGAGACATCTTGGCGTCCTTCTCCTCTGACTCCCTCGTGACCTCACCCTGCATTTTGCAACTAGACAACAAGTTTTCTTCCCTCCATTTCCCCGTTTCCCTTCCCCCTCCCCTTCAGCCTCTGGGGTGACGCCTTTCTGGCCTCGCCCTGCACTGTTCAGCTGGACGGCAAACTCGTAGCTCTTTCTGAACTTCAGCGCAAGGTAGTAAGACTGGGAAGATAAAGGTAGTAAGCTGCCTATTGCACTGCAAGCAATTTGATATGCAAGGCAACTATGAAACACTCTGAGTGTGAACGCCACCATCCACTCACTGCTGTCACGCTCTTAACCCCACATGTGCACGTTCCTGTGGAGTGCAGGAATAGGATTTGCTGCATTGCACACTGCAGCTGTATCACGCGGAGGAGCAGGTGGTGGCTCGCTCCCTCTCACCACCTGCTCTTCTGCATGATGAATTGCACCGCCTGCACCCGCCACCAGTGCACCTGCCAGCACTGAGGAGCAAGTGGTTAAAGAGTGCGCCACCACTTGCTCCGTCTCGTGATACGACTGCAGCATGCAGCGCAGAAACTCCCTCTCCTGCATTCCATGAGAACGGAATGGTGGTGTGTTGGCATGGGGGCATGTGCGCGTGTGGGGGTTGGAGGTGTGACGGCAGTGAGTGGCTGGTCGCGGGCGCACTCAATGAGTTTCATAATTGACTTGTTCCATACCTTCCTCTCTATCCTCTCCCCTCCCCTATCTCCATGCCCCAAGGTGCACAGGTGGCGGGCGCAGGCGATGCGCTTCATCCTGATTTGTTCTCGTGAGCTTTCCCCTTTATCTTTCCCCCTGGTTCTTCCACCCCACGTGTGCCTCCAGGTGCATTGGTGGCGGGCGCAAGCAGTGCGATTCATCATGCGGTGGCCATCAGCTCATCTCTGCCACGTCACCAACCAGGAGAGGTACCGCGCCTTCGGCACGCTCGCAGCCAATCACGTCACTCGCTTCCTGCACACCCAATCAGAAGCCCTCTCCTCCCTTACTGACAGCACCACCCCTGCTGCTGCCGCCTCTCCTGCACCTACTGCAGCCAACGTCCCAGCCAATGCAAGTGACCGGGAAGCAAGGAGGAGAAGAGCGGCAGCCTGGTTGGCAGCTCTTGCAGGCTCCTCCTTGCCCTTCCACTCAGACGCAGACGCCACTTTCAGTGCCACAGGGGGGGCCGGCGAGAATGCCATTGCCAACGGCTCGAATGCCAGCTGGTCGCTGGGAGTGCAGGAGCCGTACATGCCGCGGCCTATAGTGAGTCTGCATGTAAGGGGTACGGACAAGTTTGCAGAGATGGGGCTGACCTCGCTGGACGCCCACCTCTTCCACATCAACCGCCTTCGACAGCATTCGCCTGACCTCTCCCACGTCTGGCTCAACACCGAGACCCAGGTGAGATGCTTGCCAAATTGCATCCTGCCCATTCCCATTCTATCCTGATGCAGTTTGCTCTTCCTCATTAACTTTGTGTCGATTTCTTGCTGCATCTGGTCCTCTCGGATTGTGTGCTTCCTCCCCACAATCCTCCTCGTCTCCTTATACCACACAGGCCAACGTGGACCAAGCAGTGAGGGATCATCTCTCGTGGAGTTTCTTCTACTCATCGAATGCGCGGCAGCAGGAAGCAGTGGGTGGGCTGCGTGAGTATGAGTGGGCGCAGTCGGTGGCGGTGAGCTTTGCAAGCGTGCTGATCGCTGCGCAGTGTGACTACTTTGTCGGCAGCCTTGGCTCCAACTGGAGTCGCCTCATGAATGAGCTGCGCTCCACCAATGGTCGGCTGGGAGCTGGATTCATTGCTGACAATGTTGAGGAATGGTGACATACCAACATTGTGTTTCATAAGGATACATAAGGGTGATGGTGGGGTAGTGAAGGATGTCTAGATGGTACCTAGATCTTTTTGGAGTGGTCGGGTTGGGGGGTAATTCTTTGATGAACATTCAGTTAATATGTTTATTCATGAGGTTCTTACATTGTGCATCATGTTGTGAATTGTGGATGACGCGCTTGTTGCTTCCACTGAAAAACCATGTGGATATGTTCAGCTACCTTGGCTGCTACTTTTAATGCACGATATTTAATTTGAGAGTAATCTGTCGGAGCTCACTATAGTGAAGCACACTGGAGAGATGGTATTGATTTTCTCCTCAGGTTCTCCTTCCGTTGTGCTCCGTCCTACCCATCAAACCACCTAGAGCTCTCCACTCCCGCATGCGTCGCAGGCAGAACAACAATTTGTATCACTTTAGTCAGTGCGAAGCTTTGACACGAGGCAATTAATAACACATTCTTCTAACAAGGCAACTAGACGTACATTCTTCTCAGCTTTCATAACTATCTGTAGTGGTCATGGCTAGCGACATGGATGACAGTCACGTAGTCGTTGCTCTCATCGAGAATCGCGCGCGAGAGGTATGAGCCGTCGCTGTTCCACTCGCTCTGTCGCACGCTAAATAAACCAAATTGTGCCTTGCGCGCGTAGGTCGGACTCACCGCCTTGGACCTGAGATCCGCAACTCTGCACCTGAATCAGTATATTGAGAGCAGCAAGTCGTACCAGAACACGCTGACCTTGCTTCAGTATTTCAAACCATCTGAAATTATCGTTCCAGCACGAATGGCCGATTTAGCGGAAGGCATTGGCGGAGCCATGGCTCTTGCTTCTCATTCTGCATTCGCTGCCGCTCGTAAGGTAGGGGTTTTTGCGAATTGGCCGATCCTGGTGTTTTTGGCTCAAAATGATTCACTGGCGTTTCCAACAGGTGACACTGGCACGTGGCTGTTTCGACGACGTCAAGGTCAGTGGCGGAACCTTCATCATTATTCCTCTAGAATGGAAACGCTTATGAAACAATATTTGCTCATCCCGCTCAGGGTGCGTTACTTGTTCAATCTTACAACAATGGAAAAGCCAATGGGACGAACGTTGACAGACACTACAAAGAGTATTATCTTTGCCTTGGTGCTGTGTCTGCACTTCTAAAGTGGTGAGTATGCAGAGAAGCTATATCCATGGAGGCATTGTCTAATCGAAGCACTTGTTGTCAAGCAGGGTTGAAAGCGAGAAGTCAGCGGCAGTTATGCAGAAATCCCTTCAGGTCACCTTTAACGGCTCCCTCAACCACTTGTCAATAGATGCTACCAGGTACGGTAAATGCGTCAGCACACACACAGTTCTAAGGTATCTCGACTGCTGACCACTTTCCCTTTGCGCAGCATACAGAATCTGGAGGTGATAGAACCACTGCCAGGAAATTCAGAAAGGGATGGCAAGAGAAAAGCTAGCCTTTTTGGTGTCCTCAATTCAACGAAGACAGTGGGCGGGTGAGCATCAGCTGCCTTTGCATCTCGTCCAGATAAATCACAAAGAACCCTCACGTGTGCGCTCTGTGCCAACAAGCAGGGCGCGGCTTCTTAAAGCGAATCTTCTCCAGCCGTTGAAGGACAAGGAAACTATCAAATTACGGCTGGATTGTTTGGTAATACGCTCTGAAAGTGCTCAGGTCCTTGAAGGTCCTTCAACAAACGTCTGAACTGAAGTGGATCACATTTGCAGGAGGAAATCATTAACGATGAGTCTTTATACTCAGCACTGTCAAATATCCTCCAACAATTCCCAAAAGATCTTGGTATGCTGCAAGGGGAAATGCCTGTACATTGGTAAAAAACCTGGCTAATACAATCATCTTTGTGCAGATCGTATTGTGACAAGCTTCGCATTTCGTCCACGCAAGGCTGCCGATGATGGCACAGGAAGTGCAACCACTCGGAGAAACATGATGATCCTTTCAAGCATCATCCTCTTGCGAGAGACTCTTCTTCTTGTACCTCGACTTGCTGAGGTATATTGGTGTCTGTCTGACTCGTATTCGTGATTGTTGTGTGGCACTAACTCTATCTTTTCTTGCTGTACACTCAAGGCTTTGAGTGGTGCTAGCTGTAACCTGCTAACAAGCATACGGGATATTGTTTGCAAGCAGCAAAGCTTTCCAGATTTGTTGAAGGAGTAAGGCGTTTTGTGCAGTTCGCAACTTCCATAACTATCCAGAACTGGTTGACTTACATGGAGACACTGATGCAGGATCGAAAGCATTCTTGATGAGGATGTCATGCATTCGAGGTCCCCGTTCATTGCTCGAACACAGCAGTGTTTTGCAATCAAGGCTGGCTTTGATGGCTTCTTGGACGTTGCCAGGCGCACATTTTGTGCCACTAGTGAAGGTGAGGAGACGGGTTTCTTTCAACAGTGTGTTCCAAGACAAGCCACAGAAGTTATTAACTGTTTTATTCACGTCCTGGCAGCTATTCACTCCTTAGGGAAATCCTACCGTGAACAGTATTCTCTTCCAAATCTTCGACTTCCATTCAACAACAGACGAGGATTCTACATCACAGTTCCAGTTAAAGATGTGAAGGGGAAGAAGCTCCCACCTGTCTTTCTCCAGGTATAACGTTTTCCACTTGATTTGATAGGGTTTCGTTAGTTATAGGCTGTGTCTATAACTCTTGCATGACAGGTCAGCAAGAATGGAAAGATTTTTCAGTGCACAACACAAGAGCTGGTGTCGGTAAGCATTGATTCCAATGCACTCGGCTCCACAACTTGTTACAAGCTCTCATCACTAGAAAACTTGAACAATGATTGCAGCTCAACATTCGGAACAAGGAAGCGTCAGCTGAGTGCTTTCTTCGGGAAGAGCGCTGCCTTGAAGGTGTGTATATTTCTTAAAACGATTTCGACAACTATCGAACTTGTTAGCATTTTCTGCAGGTCAACGTGTTCAATGAATCTGTTGAAGCTACTGTATTGGGGGCAGGTTTATGTCAACGAATTAGGGAAGAGTTGACTGTGTTCTCTTCACTTCTGGAGAGCATCTTTCTCCTCGATATGATCACAAATAGCTTCGCATACATTGTGACAACAAATCCAGTGGATAGCTATGTCCGCCCTGAGTTTACAGGTACATACAGGTGATTCACTACTATCATGTTCACTGCGGTACTTATCCCGTTTTTTCTCGAACTCAGATTTTGGACCTTTGGCCATTGATGGTGGTCGACATCCGATTGCTGAGGGCCTTCTCCAAGATGCCTTTGTGGTGGGCCTTTTTGCTAATATAACCTGTTATTCGTTTCACGTGAGTGTTAACATTCCCCTCCATTTTACCTTGCAGGCAAACAACACGTTTATGTCAGAGGCCTCAAACGCAATGATCATTACTGGTCCTAACATGTATGCATACTGCAACATAATTCTTGGTCAAGTACACTAATACTATGCTGAGCTCTGGTTCTGCTATGCCAGGAGTGGGAAAAGCACCTACCTTCGGCAGGTGGCTTTGCTAACAATCATGGCTCACATTGGCTGCTACGTTCCTGCACGATTCGCATCTTTTCGAGTGGTTGACCGTATATTCACAAGAATTGGCACTGGAGAAAGCATTGAAGAGAATTCGAGCACGGTACATATCCATGTACGCTTAACTTTACCGAGTGCATGGTCGTCCTTCCACTTAAAATCCCTTGTTTGCTTGCAGTTCCTCACAGAAATGCGTGAAACTGCATTCTTGATGGACCATCTGACTCCAAGGTTCGTGTGTACATCTTGATGATTGCATGGTTAAACGCCAAGCATAACCAGCATCACTACTTTTTTTTTTCAGGAGCCTTGTGGTAGTTGATGAGTTGGGATGTGCAACATCAACACTTGATGGTCTTGCGATTGCGTGGAGCTGCTGTGAGCACCTTCTCACGTTTCCGTCGTATGTGAATCATCTTACACGCACATAATTAAAAGTATTGTATCTTTTATTTTTTGTTTCCTGTAACCCCAACATGTTGGTGTGCATGTTTCCAGGTACATAATATTCGCAACTCATATGAAACAGCTTGGTGAGCTGGCCTCCATTTACCCCAATTGCAAAGTGTGCTATTTCTCAGTTGGAATCAGCAATGAGAGACTTGCCTACAAGGTATGGCCTGCAGCCCAGCACATGCAATGTTTTCTTGCTTTGGAGGCTAATGTCGCGATCATCTGGCAGTACGTGCTGAAGGAGGGATACACTGACGTGCCTCACTATGGCTTGCGGCTTGCTGAAGCGATGGGTTTCCCAGCAGCAGTCATGTCTGAAGCTCAGCGAATTGCTGACGTATTGGAAAAGCAGGTATGAACTAGGTTGTTCCTTTCGTGACTCTCCAATGTTTGCACATCCGTATCAAAACGTGGTTGGTGCACCAGGAATCGAGGCGATTGGAGATAGGCTACAGCAAGTTTACGGCACTCCGCCGGGATTATGTTGTGGCGCAACGTCTTTTATGCCTGCAGCAATCCAATCTCAGTGAATCAGAGCTCAAAGATTATCTGCTGAAGCTCAAAGCAAGCTACCTGGATGGTACTCTTGTGTGAGCTTGATGGGTAGAAATCATAAGCATGCTCGATGCATTGTGAATGCAACACCAATAGAGGGTGTCCTCAACAACACTACTGTACAGTTACAATGCATAATACCCTGATTCCACCAGAGCTACCATACTACCGTATTGTCTGACTGAGCGATAGCTCAGAGCGTTGGTGCATTGAATCTGCTACTCGGTACTATCAACCAAACTGGGCTTGCAGCAAACATCCAGAACGACATGCCGAATGTGTGGCGCATACCATTTCACCCGTTCCAAATGCACTGCCTTGACTTCCCAGCTTCTCCCCTCTTCTCTTGCCAGCTTTTCAAACTCCCACACAACATGATCAGTCCATTGCTGCTCCTCCACATCAACAACATTCCCATGCACATGAGCAACACCCCCTTCCTTCGGCTTCAGGCAGCGAATTGCAGTCCTCCAGCTGGCCTCACTCGAGGGGATCAAGCCCAACAGCACCCGATCAGCAACCCCCACTGGAGCAACCACCCTGTTATCCCCCTCCAGCACAGCGTATCTATCTGGCGAAACCTGATTGGCTGCAAGACTGGACCGGAGCCCATGGACAGCCGCAGGGTTCCACTCACATGCAAACACGTGGCGGGCTCGTGCGTGCACAAGCAGCGGAATCGTGAAATACCCGATCCCAGCAAACAGATCTACCACCACTTCTTGGTCATGAAGCTTGAGTGCGGCAATGCGCTGCTTCTCAGTACCATTCCCCGAGGAGAACATGCACTTTGCAGCATCGAATGTGTATGTGATGCCATTCTCGCGGTGCTCCACCCAGGACGAGGACCCCAGCAGCAGCTGCAGCCGGCTGTCTCGAGTCAATGCGGGTGCCACAGGGGCCTGCATCAAGCCACAGTAGGAGAGAGAAAGGGGCAACAGAGAAGAAAGGGAGAAAAAATAGAGACAGCTTCTGGTTAAAGCAAGAGCAGTCATTATTCCACAGCTATCTCCCCTCCCAAGCCTTTACACAAAGCGGACCTTGAAACTGTGGGTGGTGTACCTCTCACCTGCCGGGCCACTCTTGTCGCCCCAAGAGCCTCGGCAACAACCTGCCAGAGCTCCGGCCCGAGCCTGTCCCAAACCTCCCCCAGCATGGCATCAGCTGGCAACACCACCATGTCTCCAAGCCGCTCCCAGCGGGCCGGCAGCTGAGAGAGAAGGGATAAGTGAGTGGCACTAATTTGATTGTCCTCTGAAGAACTGGGTTGCATCGCCTTGAGGTTAAGGAGGGTCTGGATGGCGTGGTGGAGGCGTTGAAAGGGAGTGAGAGGGCGAGCAGCTGACGGAGACAGGCGCAGCTTTGTGAGCACTGCTGTTCCTGCCCGCTGGTGATGTGCACTGCTTTGACGCTGCTGGATCTGATGCAGTTGCTGTTGCTCCCACTTCACCCACTGCCTCTGCTGCTACAGCCTCAACTGCCATTGGCTGCTGCTCTTGCACTGATCCAGATACAGCTGTTGGCACTAGTGCTGCTGATACTGGCACAGTAGATGCCGCCATGCACACACCAGCCATGGCAGCAACAGTGCGCACAGCAGACTCGCACACAGGCAACGCCAGCAGAAACTCACCACCGTCACCAGCAGCACCTGAGATACTAGCACTGACATGTGATACCTCGGGACTGGCATTTGGGCTCACTGTAGCTGGCTTGCGGGTCTTGTCTAGAACACCATTTGTCTGTAGCTCATCCTTCCATCGCTTCCCGTCCCTCCGTGGAACCAGCACCACCCACCCCAATCCTCCCTGCGACTCCTGATCCTGCTCTTGCTCCTGTCGTTCCTGCTGCTGCCCCTGCCGCTGTTGGCTAGCATATCCAAACTTTCCTTGAAGAATTCCTTGCAGAGGGATCGTAAAAGGAGGGCTAAAGGCCGATCCGAAGGCAAAGCACGCAGCACCACCCCCCAGCACCAGCAGCCTGTCCCCTACAGTAGAGCCTCCAATTGTACCCCCTGCTGCCACCGACCCTCCCCTCACCACACTGGCAGTGTGGCGCACGGGCAGAGCACCAGGAGGGAGAGCGACGGGGATTCGAGACACCTCAGTGGATGTGGTGTTCACCATAATGATTTCCGGGCCTGCCCGGGAGTGCGGGCAGCCCCCGAAAATTAGAAGGTGCTGCCCGTACGTGGTGAGGGAGTGTGAGAAGCGTTCGGGAATTGAGACTGGGGCAGAATCCCAAACCTTGGTCCACCGAACATGCAGCCTGCTGCCTTTTGTACAACTACTGTTGCTGATATTGCTGTCATTGCTGCTCTTGCTGTCGCTGCTGTCTGCTGGAAAATCTGTTTGAGAGTTTTGAGGCGCCTCACATTCCCCAACAGCTGAATCGCTGCCCACAACCTCAAAATAAAAGAGGTCGGAAAATAGTCTCTGGGAGTCTCGCCCTCCAAAAAGATACACCCGGTTACCAACCGTTGCCATAGCATGGGAGTGGCGAGGGGCAGGCATCTGCCCGGAAACAACCGGGTCGGGCAGCCAGGAAAATGTCCGGGCAGAGAAGACCTGAAGGGAGGTGAGCGGTGGGGCATGCGGGTGGGACGTGCCTCCGAAGACAAAGACCAATGACCCCAGTGCTGCTGCTGCATGGCGATACCTTGCCACGGGTGCACCTGTGGCAGCTGTGGCATCCGAAGCAGGTGGAGCAGCAGCAGCAGCATCTGTAGCAGGTGTGGCAGCCGTAGCATCAGATGCTGCTCCATCCTGTGCAGATGGCGCTTCTGGTGCTGCCACGTGGCGCCACGTCATGGTCCAGAGATTGAGGGAGAACACATCAGCGAGCGGAGCTGTGGGGCCATGCCTGCCTCCGATCACCACCATCTCCTCCTCCTCCCCCTCTTCCTCTCCTCTCTCACTCACCTCACTGCTCTCGACTCCCTTGGCCCTCAGTCCCCTCCCTCGCCCCACAGCAACCACAATGGCAGAGTGCCACATGCGAGCACTCGGCCCGCTTCCTCTTGTCTCCGCCACACTCTCTTCCATCACAAGCTCCCCCTCCTTATCCCCTTCATTTCCAACCCCTCCCTCCTCCCCTCTCTCTCTGACCATCACCACTACCACGTCCCCTCGCCTGCCATGCACTCCGCTTCCCCCGAAACCCCCAAATACCACTACTGCTGTCCCTGCTGCCTCTCCTCTTGATTTCACTCCCTCTAATGTCCCTGCAACTATCAATCCTGCACCTGGTGACCCTGCACCTGGTGACCCTGCTCCTGCCCTTTCTCTTTCCGCTGCGCTTCCTGCACCTGCGATTCCACACATTATTTGTGAAGCAGCAACCGTCACAGCTGAATGACCCCACCGCAAAAGACTGCCCTCGGGCAGCCCTAAAACCTTCACCGCCTGCCCGTGCAGCTGCCCGCCCTGGGCCTTGCTTTCTGGCAGAGAAAGTTCCTCAGTTCCATGACCTGGGTCTTCTGCTTTGTGTAATCCTCTAGGCATATCCCATGCGCTGCTGCAGCAACCACCTGCCACGTCCTGCAATTGCACCATGCCTGCACCTGCACCTGCACCTGCACCTGCACCTGCACCTGCACCTGCACCTGCCACCGCTGATGCTGCTGCTGCTGCTGCGGCTGCTGCTGCTGCCCCGGCTGCTGCCGTTGATAGTAATCCTGGCACCGTTGCAACACCACCTCGTAGCGCCACACACTCACCCCGCTCCAACGCCCTTCCCCCAAGCAGACCCACCATCCGCCTCTCCACCTCCCCTATTCTCCGCAGCACTGCCACCTGGCGCTGCTCCAGCTGGCTCCCTTGCAGCGGTGCCAGCTGGCAGTCTTGCCTCTGCGCCACGTGGCCATTTGCCGCCTCTCGCTGGCCTTTCGAGCTGCGCTGTGCCGCTTTTCTAAGATGAGATGACTTGGGCGCTGGGACTGGGCCGTGTGCTGGGTGGAGTGGTATTGGTTGCGGTTGGGATGGTTGGTGTGGCGGATGGGACAGAAGGGAGTAGCTGCACTGCAGGAAAGGAGGGGAGGAGGGAGGAGAGGGGTGAAAAGGGTAAAGAAAAGAAAGACGAGGGTAAGAGAGGGTAAACAAGGGGCAATGAAGGGTGGGAAGAATTGCCTGTTCCTCTGCCCATCCCCTTTTCCGTCCCTTCACCGCGGTCTCACGCGCCTGTGTCCCTGCTTGCTTCAAGCCCCATGACCCCGCCCGCCCTCACCTCACCTCACCTCACCTCGCCTCACCTCACCTCACCTCACCTCACCTCACATCCTACTCGGATCGAAACGACTCTTTATTCGTCATTCCACCCGCAACCACCTGCTCCAACCTCATCCCACCCACACTCACCCATCCCCACCCACCCTCACCTCCTCCTTGAACCGAGCTCGGAATCGCTCTGTCCTCTCACGGTTGAGAGCCATCTTGCCGTTGGCCATCGCCGCCACCCACTCCCACCCACTGTCACCCAGCCTCACCCCCTCTCTCCCCCCCCCCCCACCCGCCCCCGCCCCTCCCCCACACCTCCTCCTTGAAGCGCGCTCGGAACCGCTCGGTGCGTTCGCGGTTGAGAGTCATCTTGCCGTTGGCCACGGCCGCCAGCTGGCGCACGTACGCCTCGCCCACCAACGGCACGCCGCCAGCTGTCAGTGGCGCCTCGAGGCGGATGGAGCAACGGACGGCCGCGATGATGCGCTTTGGGCTCACACTGGTGATGCCTGGTGGAAGGGAGTGCGGGGGGGAGAAGGTGTGGGGTGGGGGGCGAATGAGGGGTTGGTGTGTTAGAATTAGGCTGTCAACACTTTGTGTACTATATTTTATAACGCGTAGAATATTTGCGGGTTGGGTGTAGTTTGTAATCCCAACCCTATTTGATTGGGATTCGGATTGGGATTCCCTCGTAATCCTGCAAATCTAGCAACTCACCAATTGGAGATTTGCTAGGATTCCCATCCCATCCTTTCCCTAGCCTTGCCCAACCCAACCTCGTTTGTACTTAAGGCCTTTTACTAATAAATCAGTTGAGCTCCATTTCTGTCATGGTATCCAGCTAGTAAATTTCGCTCACACGGACACCAATCCTTGGCGCCGCGATCGTTTCCGAGAGGAGAGGAAGGTGAAAGGAGAGGGGCGGAAGCTGAAGTCATGAGAGGGGAAATGGCGGGAGTTGGAACGCCAAGGCATGGGGTATCGCCGATAGGTATTTTGGACCTCACACCCACTTACCACCCCCACTGACCCAAACTCGATGATTCCGAGGGTTTCTAGATTGAGTGGGACTGCCTCTAGTGCAACAACGACACCAAGAGAGAGGGACGGGGGAGAGTATACGGTCCTCAGTGTGTTGGGTACAGGGACAGGTCCTTTTTGCTTTTCTTCTTTTCATGCTCCGAATACGGCAGCCCCAGCAGCCCCAGCAGCCTCAGCAGCTCCTGCAGGCGCAGTAGTCCATGCAGCCGCAGGAACCACAGCAGCCCTAGCCACAGCAGTCATAGCAGCTACAGCAGCGTCAGCAACCCCAGTAGCCGAAGCAGCCTTAGCAACCCCCACTGCATGGCAACCACAGGTACAACAGGCAGATCTAGCAAAAAGGTCAAATTTGCTAGGGCACGCTCCTTGCTTCTTTTCCAATTGGAGATTTGCTAGGATTCCCATCCCATCCTTTCCCTAGCCTTGCCCAACCCAACCCCGCTTGTACTTAAGGCCTAGTGCCTTCTTTACTAATCAATCAGTTGAGCTCCATTTCTGTCATGGTGGGGAACTGAGAGGGTATGGGACAGGCCCAAGGGCCTTGATTTGAGTGCGAGAGAGCAACGGTCGGCCACGGTGATGCGCCTAGGGCTCACACTGGTGATGCCTTGGGGGGAGGAGGGGGCGGAGAGGGAAGAGGGGGAGGGAGAAAGGGGAGAGGATTAGGATGGAGCAACAGACGGCCACGATGATGCGCCTGGCGCTCACACTAGCGATGCCTGGGGGGAGGGGCGGCGGTAGGAGGGAGAAAGGGGAATGGACAGCGGTGGTAGAGGAGAGGAAGGGGAGGGAGGGGGAACGGAGGGAAAGGGGGGGATAGGGGAAACCCCCCAATCCCAAACCCCTTAATCCTAAACCCCTTAATCCCAAACCCCTTAATCCCAAACCCCTTAATCCCAAACCCCTTAATCCCACCCCTTAATCCCAAACCCCTTAACACCAAACCCCTTAATCCCAAGCCCTCACCTGACTCTCTGAAACCCGCGCAATGGCGCAGGACACGAGAGCCTGTGCGGCGGAGAGGGAGCGACATTCGAGGGCGAGGATGAGCGGCTGAAAGCGAGGGCTATGTGGGCATCACTCTAACCCAACCCCTGAACCATCACTCAAGCCCAGCCCCTAACCCTTGCTTCCAAGCCCTCACCTGACTCCCTAAAGCCAGCGCGGATGGCGCAGGACACGAGCGCCTGCGCGGCAGCGAGGGAGCAGCGAAAACCTGAAACTCCAAAACGCTAAAAACGGCAACCTGAAACAATATCCTCACCTGACTCCCTAAAGCCCGCGCGGATGGCGCAGGACACGAGGGCTTGCGCGGCGGTGAGGGAGCGACACTCGAGGGCGAGAATGAGCAGCTCGGAGTGAGGGTATGTGACATATACCCTGAACCCCAAAAAGGCTGAACCCCCAGAAACACTTGCTTCCAAGCCCCTCACCTGACTCCCTAAAGCCAGCGCGGATGGCGCAGGAGACAAGCGCCTGCGCGGCGGTGAGGGAGCGACACTCTAGGGCGAGGATGAGCGGCTCGAAGCGGAACACCAGCTCGCCAGGGAGAGCGCGCGGAGAGGCGCAGATGGCGGGGGTGGCGGGGGTGCTAATGCTGCTGGCGCTGTTGCTGCCGTCGGCGTCTGTGCGCGCTGTGCTTGTAGAGAAGACGGCAGTAACGAGGTCGGCAGGGTCGATGGGGTCATGGCTGACCAACAGCCACTCGCCACCCTGCACGTGGCGTGGGTACGGGTGAGAGAAGAAAGGATTATGAAGGTACTATGAGAAGCGTGGGGGGCGGTACTTGTGAGGCGCCTCAAGAGTCGCCCTGCTTGTGATGCTGGTACGGGTGAGAGAAGGGGGAATCATGGAGTCATTATGAGAAGTGTGGAGGGTGGTACTTGTTAGGGACAGGATGCGCGGATCGGAAGCATATGAGCGAAAGCAAGCCCAGCTAGCTCGCACGCGCTGCATCTCCCGCTGCTGATGCCAGGGAGTTTTGAGAATCACAGACGCTATTTGGGAACTGCACGTGCGGCGGCGAGCATAGTATTCGCCCTCGTGCGACCCACCCTCGCTTTCTTCTTCACCCGCTTCGCCGAGGCCGCGCTATCCGCCGCAACTCCTTCCCCTCCTCCTTCTCTTTCAACAGTAGCAGCACCGGCGGTGCCAGCGCCAGCACCGCCAGCAGCAGTAGGAGCGGCAGCGGCAGTGGCGGCGGCGGCGGTGTCGTGCGGTTCGAGGAGCAGCGAGATGCGGCCGGAGCACGAGCTGGTGGTGAAGAGATCATCGTGGCCGTTGATCTCCGCCACCAGATCCGCGATCGGCGCATCCAGCCCGCCCTTGAGCGACTTGTCGCGCTCCGCCGACGCCAGCGCCGCCAGCACCGCCGCCTTCCGCGCGTCGAAACCCTCGTCTGCCATCGCAGTGGATAATGCTCGCGATGGTCGCTACAGTCGCGATGCTCTACTTGAAAGCAACTTCAGTTGACAAGACGCGCTCGCTGCTTCATATGCGGGTAATTATCCTACCGCGCATCGCCTAATCAAGAGTGTACAGCATCTGAGAGATCAGACGGCGTTCAGGTGGACAGGAACGGCGGTGATGAAGGTAAGGGCACGGCGGTTCGGGGTTTTAGAAATGGTTTAGAATTTGTCAGGGAAAACAATCATTTAAGAAAACCCCCTCTGCCAGAAGCACACGACAGTAACTTTCTGAAACGCCAGTTATCGTACCGAACCGTACGCGAATGCGATTGACACTGTTCGCCTCTGTTGTTCATCCGTGCCCCTCAACTCCTTCAGCGAGCCCATCCGTTTTCACTAAATTCACCACCATCCTGTAACTCACTGCGCCGTAGCAAACCAGCTAGCACCCGTTCGTACGACCGCGAGTGAAAACTCACTTCTTTCTGTTCTGGTAAGTTTCCGCCGCCACGACTGTTTTTCTTCCTTCCGCGCGGACCCCGCGTTTTCGAGCGTCGCGACGCGACTTCCTTCCGCCTTCCCTATGGCATCCGCGCCCCCACCTTCCGCGCAACCCGCTCCGCCTCTCCCCTTCCATCTCTGGCGGCGCCGCCAGCAGCGCCGCGTGCGCTCCGCGTTCTCCGCCGCGGCTGGCGCGCGGAAGCAGTGGGACGCCGCCTCGGCGGACGGGCTGCGCGCGGCGACAGCTGTCGTGAATCGATTGGTGCAGCTGAAGTGAGTCCAGGCGTCGCAGTGAAGAGCACTTATAGCGAGTATAACCATATCGAGAACAGATAATGAGCGATGGAGTATGTACCATAGGTTATGGCGCTCATGTACATAGGTGCTGAACATACCTTGAAATCCACTCCCCTCCACTCCTCTCCACTCCGCGCCACTCCTCACCACCCCTCTCCTGACTGCACGCAGGCAGCTACCCGGCAAGAGGGCATAAAAGGCCAGGGCTGCGATGAAATCATGCCTTGAAAATTACTCCTCTCCACTCCCCTCCACTCCTCTCCACTCTCCTGCACTCTTCTGCGCTCTCCACTGCTCGTGCAGGCAGCTACCCGGCAAGGACTTGGGGGCGTTGGGCGCATGGAGGGCATCGTGGTAAGGGCTGCAATGAAAGAATACATTAAAGGTTCACTCCTCTCCACTCCTCTCCACTCTTCTGCGCTCTCCACTCTGCGCGCAGGCAGCTACCCGGCAAGGACCTCGGGGTGTTGGGGGGCATGGAGGGCATCGTGGGCAGGGCAGCAGAGAAGATGAGACGCCTCATGGTGCTCATGCCACCGGGACTCGTTTTAGTGGGACTCGTTGTAGTGGGACTCGTTTTACTGTTACCTGTTGTAGTGCGGTTCCTTATACTGTGAAAGCTCGGTACCACAATAGAAGCAGTAATCGTCTTCCCAACGCCCTCCCTTACCTTTCTCACTCACCCATCCACAACTTACTCCCTCCCTTCCCTCCCCACCCCTCCCATCTCCCTCTCCTCCTCTTGCCGAACTCTCTATCCTCCTCCCTCACATCACATCACAGCCCTCTCCTTTTTCTTCATCTCCACATCTCCGAACCTGCTCTGTTCTCCTCCCCCTTTGCTCATGCTGCTCGTGCCCTCCACTGCTCTTGCCAACACCATTGTCTGCTGCATGGCATGGCATGGCACGGCGTGGCATGGCGTGGAATGGCGTGGAATGGCATGGCACTCGCTGCAATGCCACCGTGACCCATCAGGAGGAGGATCTATGCACGCTGCGCCGCTGTTTGAATGACCTTGTGAGTCCATGGAGGGGGGGTGGGGAGAGAGCGAAGAAGTGGGAATAGAAGGAGGACACGGGCCTTGAGAGTTTGCACCACGGCTGAAAAATCTTTCCTCTGAAAGAAACTGTTTTTTTGGAAGGACTAAAAAAATCAGTGAAGAAGTGGGAAGAGCACGGGAGTCGAGCCTTGTGAGTTTGCAGCAGGACTAAAAAATCCTCTTCCCGAAAAAAGAAAGAAAGAAAGAAAGAAAGAAAAACTGAATTCTGAGATGTCTTAGAAATCAACGGAGTGGGTTGAGAGGGTGACACGAGCCTTGTCAGTTTGCAGCAAGGATGAGAACTCCCCCCCATCTCTTGGTTTTTTTTAGGCGTATTTAAACGAATGGAATCTCCTAACGCATCCCAGGGCGTTGGTGGGACCACCAGTGCCTCCCAGTCATCAAATCGTGAGCCAGGCCAGGCCAGGCCCGTTGGTAAGATAACTGGGTTCAGAGGGATGAGAGGCGTTGCATAGTGGCCCCCTCTTTGTACTCCTATCACTATTCTTTCCCTCCTGATTCGCCATTCTCCCATACATCCCCCTCCCTCACATCTTCCCCACACTCGCCTCTTCTGCTTCTCCACCTGCTGCACGCCTCTAATCCTTCCCTCTCTCTTCCCCTCTCTATCCCTCTCCTCCTCCCCTCTCCTCTTCCCCTCTCCTCTTCCCCTCCCCTCGTCCCCTCTCCTCCCCTCTCCTCCTCCCTGCAGGCTGCAGCTGTTGAGGCCTTCGGCTCTGCTTTACTTCCCGTCTGCCGTCCCCCGCAAATGCCACCTCCCTTGCATGCACCTGACGCAACAGCCGCCTCTCTAGCAGAACCTGAGTTGGCAGTTGCAGCACCTTTCACTTCTGGCGCGCAACTGGCAACACTAGCAGCGTCACCACCAGCAGCAACAGCCGCAGTCACAGCACCAGCACCAGCACCGGCACCATCACCAATGTCATCGCAATTTCGAACAGCATCAGCAGCTTCAGTGTCACCCTCCCTATCAGCAGCACTGTGGGATGCACATATGGCGTGGGAGGAGGCATGGCAGGAGAGACACATGTACCCTGAGGAACCCATCTTCACCGCGCTCCATCTCTCAGTTTTCGGTTCGTTACCTTTCACAGCATTTTCTCATCAGATTGTCTTCTATGCATGTTTCCCACCTCCCGTTGCACATCTCACCTTTCCTTGCATCATGTCAGCTTTATGCTATCTAATTAAAAAAAGCCTTCCTTGATTACGGTGACAAATAATGATCTCTCCTCTCCATGTCGCCTCACACGTCACCCTCCCTCCTCACCCGTCGCCCTCCTCCTGACGCGCATCAGAGAGGTGGGCTGGGGACGTGGCAAATATGTTTCACAAGGAGCTGCTGGTCAAGGTGAGATGGATGGAAACACTTGGTTAAGCGATCGCTGGTCAACGTGGAGGTATCAACTGAAGTAATCAATCAGCCTTGTCCCGATGACCTCTGTGCAAAACATGTCTTTTGAGGTGACTTTTGAGTCGACTCAAAAGTCTAAATCGATCAGGCTTGTCCCGATAACCAGCACATCTGTGAAAAACATGTCTTTCTTGGCATCTTTGCAATCAATTTCCTTTGATTCTGTTCCCTCCTCATTTATCAAGCAGTTCCTGTATATTTCTTATTTATGTCACAGTCACAGGAACTGTATGCACCACCGCCATCTCACAGTCCCTCCTGTCCATTCTTCCTCCTTGTGCATTGCACTCCTCCCCACCAGCGACTCATACTCTCTTCACTCAACGCAGCAGTCAGCCTGGAAGCCACCACCAACACTCCAATCACCACCGCCCGTAGCCCACTCAGACTCCCTCTCAACATCCCTCCACTGTGCCTGCCATGCACCGGCCCGCCACCTGCTGCTGTGCCTGCTCCCAGACCTGCCACTGCTGCTGCACATGCGAGCACAGAAGTTTTCACTGAAGCAGTTGAAGGCAGGGTGAGAACAGCAGGAGCAGATGGAGATGCAGCCACATCACAGTGCGAGCGCGAGGACAGCAGTAAGACACCAGAGGCAAGAGAAGAAGCGGCAGAGAGAGAGGCAGTGGGATGTTTGCAGGGAGAAGGGATGGGGATTAGTGGCAGGGATACAGAGGCAGTGATCAATGGTGAGAGTGAGGGAGGAGGGCGTGAGGGGCGTGGTCAGGGAGGGAGTATACTGTTGGACGGGCAGAATGTATGGAAGCGTCAGGCATGGACAGAGGGACAGGCATGGGCACAGGGGTTTGGGGCAGCAGAGGGATTCGAGTGGGTGGTGATGCAGCAGCGGTTGGAGCAGTCGGGGCTGCTTGCCCGCCCGCCCACGCCACAACAGCTACAGGTGAGCTGCCTTGTGAGCTGCCTTGTGAGCTGCCTTGTGAGCTCTTGGGATGTTTTATTTATTCTCTTAAAAGTGACTCAAGCAGTCGGGGCTGCTTGCCCGCTCGCCCACGCCACAGCAGTTACAGTAGGCGTGGGCGAGTGGGCAAGCAGTAGGTTTCTTGTACTGTAATTTTGCACACGATACCTCAGTGCTTTGTTTCTTCTATCTGTGGCTTCCCCCCGGCAGGTGTGTCTGGTGGCATGGCTGGTGGAGATGCACGTTGACTCTCGGCACCTCTCCTCCATCTTCGCTGCTGTAGACGAGGAGGTGAAAAGTGCAGCAGCATAACTGACTGCAGACTGGCTCGTTATGATTCTCTGTTGATAGAGTGATCGCACCCGCCCTGCCAAAGAGACTTAGGGTTGTCGTGCAGATTAAAAAGCAACGCCAGCTGCAGGCTCAACTTTGTAATAAGCCTGTAGGAAGTGTGAATTTCTACTCGTTATCTGCATGCACATAGAGAGTGTTTCACATGTTGAAACAGGTGGAAGTCATTTCTTGAAGGTTGCTATAGTGATCTCGTTATTCGAGATGAGAATGTAGATCACGCTTATGCGGATTATCGTGAAACCTCATCGCTCATTACCCTAAATCACCTTCGGCAAACCGTGCCTCGGCAGCTTCATCGATCGTTGTCGCTGCAAAGGGAAGTCGGCGAAATTGGTTGCCTGGACCGTTGTCGCTGATTTGGGGGACTTGCAAAGTGAGCACTTGCAGCGAAGCAACCACTTCCCCCAACTTCGCTGCACGTGCTCACTTCTACCAACCATTTCCACCCC